AAGGCACGCCTACCTTTGCGGTTTTTCAATATTCAACTCATTCTTTTCTCTGTCGAGATGTATCTCATAGGCATTCAGCCAGATCATCGTAGCATTGTGACTCATGGTGTAGTGCGTGTTTTCAAAATCTAAGAATTTCAATGTTGTAAAGAGAGTATCCATATTACTTCCACCCTTTAAAGGCAGTGTTCAGACAAATTTTTGATTCCGGATTTTTCACCTGGTCTGTGCCATATCGAGGTACTAAACATAATTAGCAACTTCATTCAGCGAGAATTCATCAACCCCTCCCACAACGATTTCGAGCTTCCGTTTGATTGAACGGATAAGTGGTAGAAGGTCAATTTCAAATTCTTAACTTTTGGTCCTAAAATGATCCCAACCTTTCTCGCTAAAAGTAATGCTTTTGAGAGAAGCCAGACACGGGGCGGTTTTTAGGAGGAAATCACTGAGTAGGCCGTCTCCTAAGAAGGGCGGACTGTCAACATCCGTGCTATCTTGCTTACCACGACGAATCATTTGCCTTGATTTGAAAATAGCTTAGTCAGAAAGTCAGTCACAAGCTGATAAGAACTCAAAATCTTTAGTTTTGTCCAGGCACTGCCTTTAACCAAATTGTTTTAACGTTTTAATTCAAAACATATTCTATTTAGCACAATTTTGACTACTAAAGTTTTTCACAGAAAATGGAAGGCTGATTTCAGGCAAGCCTACCATTCATCATTTTAGAGAATTCAGCTCTTGTCGTTGGATTGAAAAGATCCGGCGGTTGATTTACAACAACCTGCATTTGCAGACCTAAGGAAAACCGTTTTATGAAAGTTCTTAGTAACATAAAATCTTACCTTCCAGCCAAAATGTTTCCTCAATGAGCTTGTAGAAATTGCTGAGATAGAAAGATTCTCGAACAAGGAATTTTGGATCCAACCCTTCCTTCATATTTAAACAACCAAGTATGGCTAACAGCAAATAGACGATATAAAGGATAATTGCACAGATCTAAAGATTTTGCTTTAAAATCGCCTATCTTTCCTTTTGATGCGATCATTTATTTATATAGTCGACACCTGCGTGCTGCGTTCCAATATGAATGGACCAACAATTTCGCGGAACAGTTTGTTAACAAAGGTCTCCTCCTGCAGGGCCAGGTTGGCATTCTAAATTGTGTCACTACGAAAAGCCAAGAACAACTAAGTCAAAGGGTACTTCTTGCTTCAGGCCCGTAGATTCAATATTTCAGAGATTTTTATAGAATAACACACCTGCTCGTGATGCTCCAGTTTGGTTTCCATTTTTCTTATAACAGAACTCACTCTCGATCTCCACCCGCTTCTCTCCTTCT